TGGCAAAGTTACAAGGGACGGAGGGAGTACCAACTATCACTCATCAACCAATAATAATACATACTTTGAAAATGATTTTTAATAATATCAACTATTAGAGTATAAAACGGAAATAATATGGAGTCACTTTTCAAGAAGAATTTCCATCATTTAAGACATAAAAAACAAATAGCAACCCATCAAATAAATAATATTTGGAAATACAATCACTTATTTGATATTTTAATACTCCCTCCGTTCTCTAATACTTGGCTCTCTTTCCATTTTGGGGTGTTCTCTATTAGTTGTCTCTCATTCCACTTTTGGTAAGTTTTTTCAATAAATATACTCATTTACCCTCATTCTCTTTCCTACTTTTTCATTTTCTTTCCTACTTTTACCTTTACACATAACCCACTACACCTTTTATTCTACCCCTATTAATTCCTTCTTAAATCTTGTTCCAAAGCTATACTCTCATCTATTAGAGAACGGAGGGAGTATTATTTTTTGGTGAATTAAACGACTGAATTTTTAGTGAAAATACTCTATATTACTTTTCATCTATATTTACATAGTTGGTATTATTAAAAGTTATTTTAAAAGTAAGTATTATTCTTGATTCTTGGAAGATATGATAGTTTGTATTATTCAAAGTAATTTTCTCTTAGATTAACGATAAAGTGTATCAAAAAGAAGTAAATGTGAAACTTCTCATTTTTCACATTGAAATGTGTTTTTATTAGAATTCAACCCTATATACTCCGTATATAATTTGCAAATAGTAAGTTTCTATATAGGAATAATTAATATATATATATATATATATATATATATATATATATATATATATATATATATATATATGGGTGAGATCACATACAAACTAGTCCTCTCATGCTAACCTACAAACTATCACAAACTGTGCATCTTTACAATATTTGTACTGCATATTGAAGTTCAAATTGTTGCATAATATTTGTACTGCATATTGAAGTTCAAATTGTTGCATAATATTTGTATTGCATATTGAAGTTCAAAGTGTTGCATATTATTTGTATTGCATATTGAAGTTCAAAATGTTGCATATTATTGAGTTTGTAGGTTAGTATTTTAAGCATGGTTTGCAGAGGCGGCTTGAGCATTTTGGAGGCCCCAGACGAAAAATATTTACTATGTACAAATCACTTTTCAAATCAGATTTATTGAATAAAAATCGCCTTATGAAAAAAAGCATATTCAAAGTCCACGATATAATGTTTGTAATGTTCAAAAGGATAAATTTTAAAATGCAAACTTATTCAAAACACAAGGCAAACTTGTACTTGTAAAAGTATTAAGAGACTTCAAGAACGAGACTCAGAGAGAAGAGCTGAAGAGTCTTAGTTGATTCACTAACCAAGGACCCATGTCGACGGCGGGCAGTGAGACATATATACAGTAGCCGATTAGCGGTCTGTGTTGGACGTTGATGCGTGTTGAGATCGGCTTTTGATAGTTTTTTCCTAACTTTAAGGTGTCTTAAGTCTCAATTTTAAGCTCAATTCATATTTACCGGCCGTTGGTTCGAGTTTTGATATTTTTGGAGTCAAAATCAGGGAATTTGAGTCTGACACCGGTGTTTGAGAAGCAATAGGGACGAGTTGAGAAGCATTTTAGTGTTGATTAGGAGCATTGGAGATCAGTGAGGTGTTAAAGACAAAGTTTTGAAGACAAAAGAGCTCTAGAATTGGCTACGGGATCAAAAGAAGACGAATAGAGCTTGAAAACAACGGTCAGGATGACGTTCTGTATATCGTTCAAGCATATCTTTTCTTAGGAACATCTAAAAAACATGATTCAAGTTTCATATGAAAGCCAACTTCAAGGGCTACAAATCATATGAAGACACCATTGTGAGAATCTGAGAGAAGCAAGGTGAAAACAGACGATGAAGTCAGACAACCTCTGTTGAGATTTCAGAATGCGACCTTCCACCATTTTATTCATATATTTTTATTGGATGATTCAAATCCAGTTTTGAAAGTTGTGTTGGATAGAAGACTTCATTAGCTACAACTTTGACGAAAGACGGATAAAAAAACGTTGAGAGCTGTTCTCTCCTGGGACATCTACGACCCAGTTCGTTCTTCGCGCCAGAGGCTGTAACTTCCATGGATTTGGTGGATTGAAGCTACTGAGTTTCTGTTTTTAGGTCGGAATTCATCCCCCCTATCTAACCCCACCCTGGTTTTGGATTTGGGGGCTATCTAAAGGACCATAAACTCATGAAACGGCAGAAGGTTTACTGTACACGACTCAAGTTTTGGATTCGATTCAGCTAAAAATAGGATGATTTAAGTTAATTACGACCTATGAACTGTGTGATGTGCCTGATTTATTGTTACCAACTGCGGATTTAGCTTCGATTGTGCTCTGTTTGAACTGCTTTCATTTTAGGTCGAACGTTGCCCTGCGATTTTTAGTCTGCGTTTTAGCAGACAAGTCTTTTTGCACCTCTTGTTTACTGCGTCGGAGTCGATTTTGGAACTTGACTGGTCCTGTTTGAGATTTCAGACCTGGTTTGGGGTTCCACCGCACCTGGAAACTCCAGACCCATTTGCGATGTCAAAAAACAGGAAGCAGGGGAAAATCGATTCTTCCATGGGGAAAATGACTCGCTCAAGATATGCGGTGCTGGAGGAGAATGAGGAGGAGTTCCCAGCCCTTCTAGCTGGAATTCCATTGAAAAAAGCTCCTGCTATTGCTGAGAAGTCATCTGCTGCTGGGAAAGGGGAAACTGTTGCACCTGCAATTACTGAGAAATCGCCTGCTTCTGGGAAAGGGGAAATTGCTGTAGTGAAGTCACCAACGACTAAACCTCCTACTGCTGAGGCTCTAGTTGCTGCGATGAAAGGGGAATGAGCTGCAGTAACTCCACTCGCAGCTGGGAAAGGGGATGTTGTACCACCTGCTGCGGACAAAATAAAGGTTCACCCACCTGCTGCTAAATCTGGGACCGTTAAGGGAATTACGGCTGAGGTTTTAAAGGTTGCTGGGGGCATGACTAAACATGCTGCTGCTATACAAAATGGAGGGACTGTTGTGAAAGAAAAGGCTGTTGGAGAACCAACTCCTTGGACCACTTTGTTTAAGGATAATCGTGATCTGAGCCACGGGTTTAAGCTAAGATATATCCCTCCTATAGGTGAGACCTAGGATTTTGGGGATCGAGTTTTACCGACTATGGTTCAAATGTGGGGTTTTTGCTTAGTTGGACACCACCGGAAATTTCCCGGGACTCAAAGCGGTTCATGACCTTATAGCAAAATGGGGTATCAAGTGCCTTGTGAGGTCCCACAAAAAGGGTTGGTTGATTTTTAAATTTCAAAGTGGAGAGGATAGATCAAAAGTTCTACTTGGAGGACCGTACACTGTGTTTGGGAAATTGCTCATGCTCAAGGAACTTTCGGAAAATTTTTCATTTGAGGACGAAGAATTTTTAAAAGTACCAATTTGGGTTAAGTTCCATGATTTACCTATGCAACTATGGAATGAGGAGGCCATGAGTGAGGTAGCTTCCATGGTTGGGGTCCCAATAGCTACGGATAAAATCACCAAAGAGAGGATCAACAACGACTATGCTAGGGTGTTGATAGAGGTTGATATCTCGAAGCCGCCACCACTCTCGTTTCCTATACGGTTACCTTCCCTAAAGGTATTCAAACAAAGTGTGGTTTATGAAACTTTTCCTAGTTATTGTTTTCATTGCAAAGAATATGGGCACCACCCATTTATTTGTAAGAAGTTATGTGGGGTTGGGGAAAACAAGAAAATCGTTGTTGTTAGGGAAATTGACGAAGTTGGACTTACTTCTGTCCGGGCAGAATCTTCCCAGGAGCTTCACCCGACCGGGCCTAAGCCTAGCCCGACCGGGTCCAGGGGAAAAACAGCTGCCAAGGGGCCACACCCGACCGGGCCAACCCCAAACCCGACCGGGTTACTTGGGCAGACTGCCCACGTGCCTGAACTGCCTGCTGTGAAAGGGAGAATGACTATTGGCCAACTTATGGGTGTGAAAACAGTCCATGAGTCCTCCGAGGATGAAGACGACGAGGTCTTTTTGGAAGAAAATGAAAGACTAGTAACGAGGGAGACCGACTTGCACCAAAACGATGTAGTTATCAAATGTGAGGTGGTGAATGGAAAGAAGCTCAGGCTGTTTGTTAAGCCTTTTAAATTTGTGCACACTAATGTGATTAGAGTGGATACCTCCTTTCGACTTACGGATGACTTGGACAAAAAAGGCCTAACTTTCACCGCCAAATGTCTTGAGATGTTACCGGGAGTTACTAAGAAGAAAGGGGAGATTTGCTTTGACTCAAAGTTTACTACTCCTTTCAGACTTTTCTTTGGATGATTATTTAGGGATACCTTTTATTTTGTCGGAGCTGGTTTTGTAGGTTTGTTTTTGTTTGGTTTCATGATGTTTGATTTGTGAGAATGTAGCCTTGAGTTTGTGGTACCCCGTGATTTGGGATATGCACTTTGATTGTACTCGTGATGCATTGTACTATGCTGTTTTTCTGGATATATATACTTACATTTTATCCAAAAAAAATTGATGAAGGACGGATAGTCAATAGTGAACTATAAAGCCGATTTCTGCTTGCAGTTGCCGCTTGGTGTATTGGCGGTCTGCGAATAACACCTAATACTAATATCGGAGTAGAATTTTTTGGAGGCCCCCTTGGTAGTTGAGGCCCAAGGCAGTTGCCTGACACAACTGCCCTCAAAGCCGCCCCTGATGATTTGTATTTGATCTCTTATCTATCTATCTATCTATCTATCTATAGATCCGTAACTTCATGCAACTAATATAAATTCATTAGTTTGTAACACACTTTCATTAATTTTGAACTACAAATCTACAATTTCATTACCACTCCACATTATGTTTCTTATTATATGTTGTGTTAGTGAAACCCTATCACTATTTTGAATTAAAGAGGTCTATGTATCTTGAATTATGGGAAAGGCAGGTAGTAGAAGGCGCAAGAGTTAGAGGAGCATCAAAGATTATTGCAGTTGACATTAACTCTGACAAGCGCATCAAAGGTAATGATGTAATCCCTCTATCACACTCAACATTGTGATTTGATTCTGATATAAGAAAAGTGAAACGTACATGTGTGAATAGGGGCGAAGCCCCTATTTAGTCGTAGGGGGACAAGAAAGAACACAAACAATAAAGAGAAAATTATCTAAATAGGATTAAAGTAAAAATAAAGTCCATAAATAGGATTATTATTGTTTTACTCTCAAAATAGGACTTATTCACTCATATTTTGGCAAACTTTAATCAACTTATTTTTAATAGAACTAAATAGATCTATTTGAGGAGAAAACATATTTTGTCATATTTTTAATCATATACCAATATATGCAATTATTTCATGAGGAATGATAGATCTTGTCAAAACTACATGATAGGATCCACTGCCTGGCTGCTTATACTTGAGGTGCTTCCGGGTGGATTTTCTTGATGAAATTTTATGAAAGTGTTCTTCATGATATGTAGATTATTTACACCAAATTTTAGTTTGAAATTCAATCGGTAAGTCAGTTAAATAAATAACCGAAAACACTGCGTCACAATATATATTTATTTAATTGACTTCCCGATTGAAATTTAAGTTCAAATTTAATGAACATAATCTGCACTTCATAAAATACATGATCACAAAATTTCATCAAAAAATTCTACCAGGAAGCATCTGAAATGAGGCTTCTATCGGGTAATTCTAACTTAATCTTTTCTGATTATTTCATATCTAACACTAGTACTAAGCTACTAAGCGCATCTCCAACAGTTAGCTAATTACCTTCATAACGTAACTAGTCACATAAGTATTTGTAGCAAAATTAGAATATACTCCAATTGTTAGCTATAACATCTTCCTCTACATTTGTTATTAATAATGTTATATTAATAATGTCTTTGCTAAAGCTAGTAGCTCATTTTGGCTAATTAGCTTTCTCAAGCAAAAGGAAGAGTAATGCTCCAATGACAAACTATTTGCTTGAAAACTGTAACCCGTCTGAATCATTGGAGATGCTCTAAGGTCACTTATTTGAACCCGTCTGAAGGGTTACTAGAGGTTTATCTCATTGTTAACTTCATGCAGGGGTGGCTTCAGAGAATTTGAGGCCCTAGGCTAAAGATCACTGTAAAAATTATACAAACAAAACTAATATACAAAATATTTATGTTGATCCGAAGAATGATTATAAATACTTTCATGTAATTATATACTCTATTAATCCAAACAAAGCTTACTTTCAAAACAAATGTTTCAATGTTAAAGTTGCTTTCATAAAGTATAAAATGTATAACTTAATAAATTTATACTTTTACGATGGTATTTCTAACAACGAACATTTTTATGTCATTTTCATATTATCAATATTACCGTGTATAAATATATAATCGGTCAAAGTCTATTATCATTAACTTGAAAATTCAAATTTCACCAAAATAAAAAGGGACAGAGACAGTATTATTTAAGAAAAACATAAAAACAAATTCTCTAAAAAATGTAGCATAACTTAGAATAAATTTAATAATGTAATAACATTAATTAATCAGAAATTTTTTCAGTTGTCTATAAAAAATTAGCACTACAAAACACTTCGATAAAAAAATGAATGACGGCACGATCCAGACGAAGTGTCTGGTCGTGAGGAAGGGGTGTTAAATTCCCACACCGAATATCTTTGAAAGAATTAAACACTATATTAAGATTTGAATTACATCTCCTATCAGGTTGACCTTTTATGATGGAAACTCAAGTCTTAACATTATCTTATATATAAAATGATGTGGAGAGAGTACTATATGGCTTTGAAGTAACATACAAATAATGTTGTGTATTTTCTCTGCAGGTGAAGCTATTGGAATCACACACTTTATAAACCCAAAGGAAATAGATAAGCCCGTTCACCAGGTAATTTATATGGGAGAGTGGAGTTCTTGTCAAGCCGGTCTGACAGGAACCGTCATCCGACCGAGCATGTCTGAGGGCCTTTCGAGTGACATTATTTAAGAACATTGTGCTTCATATATATAAGCAGCCCAGTGTTTTTCTATTACACATTTGACGATTTTCCGATTGAATCTTTAGCTGAAATTTAGTGGGTATAAACTAGACTTGGTGAAGAACGCGCTCAAAAAAAATCATCAAAAAAATCACCGGAAATGCCCTCAAACGAGCTCGGCAATACGTCTTTCCCGATCAGGCCGGCCTGACATGAAGATTCATCTTATATTGGATTTGATGTGATCGTGATACAAGCAAATACATCATACTCCCTTCGTCCCCCAATTAAGTTCCCGGTTTGACTTCACACGTATTAAGAAAATAAATTTGACTTTATTGTGGAGTGCACTGTTTTGCACTGTGCAAACACTGTTTGACACTGTTTGACACTGTTTTGCACTGTTTGACACTGTTTTGATGTAGATAATTTGCCAAATATGGAAAGTAAGGAAGTGTGAACTTAATTTAGCTAGGGACTGTTCAAAAAGGAAAGTGGTAACTTAATTGGGGGACGGAGCGAGTATATGTTTGCACAATAGTGCACATAATTAAATGATGTGTAATATTAAAAAAAATACAATCCCAAAATTAATTATAGGTTTGTAACATAATAATATTAGGTGAATAATGAATACCTACATTTGAGGATTTTCCTAAAATAATGCTAAACAAAAAAAATATTACCAAAATTGGGGTCAGGGTCAACTCTAGTTAACCCTACATCTGAGTTTTGTATCTTTATATCTTTACTTTAAAAAAATCTATTTTTATATACGCAATATTAGTGTCGAATGGAAGATAATAAAAAATTATGAATTTTGATATAATTTTTCTAAAATTCAGAGTGTAAAAAAGATTGTTGTAACACTTTAAAAAAACAATAATTTTTCTAAAATTCAGAGTGTAAATAATATTGTTATAACACTTTAAAAAAACATAGGTGTTTTTATAGTGTTAAAATATATTTTATTTTTATATATACAATATTAGTGTCAAATTAAAAAAAAGTTATGAATTTTGCTACATGTTTCGTCACAATCAGAGTACAAATAAAAATGTTACTCCGTATAATATATTATAAAAATATAGGTTTTTATTTTTCCAGGACCCACAATTCTTTTATCCTCTTACGTTATGTTTGACACAGTTAGATGAAAAGATACTATGATGAGTTTTTTAGTAACTCTTAACTTTTGGTAACTGAAAAGGTCTTAAAAGAAAACGGAAGTAAATGTTTGATAAAATGTTCATTCTTTGATTTAGTTCTATTTAGTATACAAGTTGTTGGAACTAATTAATGCTAAAAATTACAAACTTTTCTCAGATGCCGCTCAATGTAAGTAATTGCATGATACTCAAACATACAACTAAAGTTTTTAAAAACTTTTTAAACAATACAAAAAGATCAAGGCAACTCAAGTGTCAATCAACTGCAATTTATGGTGACAATATTTTTGGAAAAAGTTTCAACCCGACATCAATTATGTAATTTTGTTTTTATTTACCATTGTTTAAGGAAAGAACTCCCTACATCTTTAATAAGGAGTAATATACTCTTTCTAACACTTCCGATCATGTTAGACTGTTAGAGCCGAAGAGTCTCATCCTTAAGAGGACCAGTGGGCCAAATACGCGAATATGCCCAAGTTGTTTTTAAAAAATACCATCTGGCCGCATTATGAGAGAAATCAAAGAACACATTTATAATGAAAAAAAGGATGACACTCATCCTCGAAGATCCTCAACACCGGACGGATAATTAGTTGATAAAATGTAAATTATATTTTAATCACAAACTGACAGATAAAATTTGTGTGGAGGAGCAATCTTTGAAAAATAATTACTTTTCAATTTAAAATTAAAGAGTTAATATTTTAAGATAAAAAAATCTTCATTTTTAACTCTTTAAATTTTTTCCCTATTTCGAATTTATAATTTATGTTTAGTCTTTTTTAAAATTTATTTTATTTATTTAAAGTCAATATAGGTAAATTTGCTCCTTTGAGAACAAGCGAAGCATATTTTATTTATCCGTCCTCAACACCGGACGGATAATGCACATTCAACTTTTCATACAACTCCTTGTTCACTTTCCCTCGTGCTTCATTTACGGTTTTCTTTGTTTGTCTTTTAGCCTCTTTGTATGCTTCTATGTTCTCATCACTCCAATTTGTCCCCAACTTTTTGTAGTAATCTCTTTTGTTCCTTATGTCTTGTTTCACCTCATCATTCCACCAAGATGTGTCTTTTTTAGGTGGCAGACATCCTTTAGAATTCTCCAAGTACCTCTTTTGCCACTTTGTTAATGGTCAACTCTATTGATAACCACACATCCTCCACATGTGTTTCATTATCAATACGCCATACATCTTCACCGACCATTTTGTGTGTAAAGCTTTATTGAAGATCTCCATCGAGCCTCCACCACTTTATCTTTGGCTCCACTTGTTGCTTACCTTGTCTTCCATGGTTCTTACCTTGAAAGTCAAGCACAAGCATCCTATGCTGAGTGACAACACTCTCACCTGGAATAACCTTACAATCAATGTAGCTAGTTCTCCAAATGGTCCGTACTAAGAAGTAGTCAATTTGGGTTCTATTAGCTCCACTTCTATAGGTTACAAGGTGAGAGTCTTTTTTCCTAAACCAAGTGTTCATTATAGCCAACTCATACATCGAGGCAAAATCCAAAATGTTCTTTCCCGCCTCATTCTTAGTGCTAAAACCATGTCCACCATGAATACTCTCAAAGTCATCATGACTCAAGCCCACATGCTCGTTCAGGTCACCTCCTATGACCAACTTCTCTCCCCTTGGCACTCATCACATCACGTCTTCAAGATCTTCCCAGAGTTGTTGAGTTGTAGATGCATCTAATCCCACTTGTGGAGTTGTGGTGCATAGACACTTACCATAGACACAATCTCACCCCTTATCACCAATTTAATGCACATGATGTGATCGTTCTTCCTGAAGACTTCTAACACATCCTCAACATAGTCACGCGACACAATAATGCCTACCCCATTTATGGTCTTGTCTCTCCCCGAATACCACAACTTAAAATCTCCGGGATTAATCTCGTGTACTTTCTCTTCAACCCATTTAGTTTCTTGCACACACATAATGCTGATATTCCTTCTCCTCATAACTTCGACTACCTCGAAAGATCTGTCTGTAAGAAACCCAACATTCTATGTCGCAAAACGCAATCTAGCACTCCACCTTCTGTTCTTAGCCCCATCTCGGACCCACCATGCCCTTGCATATTTGACATCATCCCTGGGCAATGAGATGACGCGCCGCTTCTGGACGGCGACCTGTCAACCTTAGCAATCTTATCACCACACCCAGGTTTATGAAGTGTAGCGCACCCTTACATATTTGACACCACCCAAGACGGAGGGATGACACGTCACTTACGGGTGACGACCTAGCAGTAGCGATATTCATATTTCGATTCATGTCATGTGATGTGACTAGGTGATACTGTTGGGCGTCACGCGCCTACCCAGCACCCTTCTCCTTTATCCTGGCTTGGGACATGCATGATACCAAAAATGATATCACGCGCCTACCACATCACCCTCCTTTATACTGCTGCTTTGAATGACATAAGCAAAAAATAAACAAATACCCTTAATGGTAATTTTACATTCAATCAGTCATTTCAACCAACATATTACCAAACACTTTCACTTCAACAGATTCAGCCTTTTCAGGCTTTTCAGTCCTTCAAACCGTTCCAGCTGTTTTTAAAGTAATCTGGCAGTTATCCACTGTTTAAACTAATGAGCAATATCTGGACACCATGGAATGGAATGCATAATATTGTAACAAGATTGATCCTCCAAGATTTTGGAGAACTAACACAGAGCTAATCCCCTATCTGCTCGTGGAATCCAAACCCTTTCGATTCCATATGGTTTTAATATCAGTTTGATTTAAGTGAAAAGTTGATTTTTGTTAAGGACTTTAACTAACAACTTAACAAGTATAAACATATTTATACCAATTTATTAAATATAAATATTTTAATTAATTCATCGATTAATTACATTAAATTATACATAACAACCTGATTTTTTAAATTTCATTATTTCATCAATTCATCAGGTTAGTAGGCGGACACCCTAAATCCCTCTTGCCCATTGGTCCTAAGAAATTATTAAAATCACATATTCACATAAAGTCATAAATTACACAAAAAGTTAATAATGAAAACATTAATAAATTATTAATTTATTTCTCATTAGTTACGGAGGAGTGGAGGAGTGGACGTCGATTTGCTGATGGGAAGAAGAAAACGAGTGAAGAACCGGAGTCCCCAGCCGCAGGTCTCGCTCAGTCTGCTCGTCAATTGCGGATGGGAAGGAGACGGAGATTCGTCGGCTGACTCGACTCGTCACTCGTCTCACTCAGTCGCAGCGCCCTTCGGCCTTTCGCACTTCGTCTTTAGCAGAAATCCATCGCAGTTGTCCTGTTCTCCCCTTCGTTTCACGCCTTCAGCCCTTCACTCCGTCTCTAGCTCCTTTTAATTTTTGGCCCTCCAATTTTTTGGACCCTGTGCGATTGGGCTGCCCACCCTATCTCTTGGCCGACCCTGGCTGCATGTCCAGAATTGAAAATCCAAAACAAAAAACTATGATAATATAAAAACTGTGATAGTTTCCTGTGAATATTCAAATGATATGATTTTTTTCGTGCAGTTAATGTGTTTTAAATTTTTCAAGTTGCAACATACAATATCAAAATATAGGCGTTTAATGGACATGAATTTCCTCATTTAATTTTTTTACTTCAAGTGCTCATATAATCCTTATATTATAAACGGAGTCATGTGTGTGCACAATTTTTTTTGTTTGTTTATTTTGGCTCAACAACGCATGGGTATGAAATTGGTGTAGGAAATTCGGGAAATGACAGGAGGAGGGGTGAATTATAGCTTTGAGTGTGCTGGAAACGTGGATGTTCTTAGGGAGGCTTTTTTGTCCACCATCGATGTAAGTGATCTAATCTTGGGAGCCCATTTAGTAACGCTGAATTTGATTGAAATAACTTGAACCGTCATCTATAGTAGCTTCCTTCAATTTAGTCATAAAAGTAATGTTGACCTTACTTATCCCAATTGTTACACAATTCAGCATGCTGAATGAAAAGTTACACATTCGACGAGAAAGGTGACTTGTAGGACTAATAAGCTGAAAACACGGCACCAAATGGGCTCTAACTCAATATACTTCAAAGGAAAATTGTCCCGAATAGGAGTAAAAATGATTGTATAATCCAAAATAGGACTTCCATGTTTTTATTCCCTAAATAATATAGGAACAATTATTGCAATGTTTTGGCAGTACCAGAATTCAAACATGGCATTATTTTTCAAAATTGGCCGTAATTGCTCCTACTTAAGGAATAAAAACATGACAGTCCTATTTTAGAATTTTCAAACGTTTTTACTCATATTTCAAGAATTTTCCCTATACTTCAATCATTAAGAAGTATTATATGTATATTACAGGGTTGGGGATTGACCGTAATGTTGGGCATCCATCCGAGTCCAAGGATGTTGCCATTCCATCCAATGGAGTTATTTGATGGGCGAAGAATTGTTGCATCTGTCTTTGGTGATTTCAAGGGAAAGTCACAACTCCCTAATCTTGTGAAACGATGCATGGAAGGGGTAGTGAAGCTCGACGAGTTCATAACCCATGAAATGCCATTTGCCAACATTAATGAAGCCTTTCAGTTGCTTGTTGATGGCAAATCTTTGAGATGTCTTCTTCACCTCTAACCTAGTGATCATCAATCTAGCACACAATCACAAATTTAAAATCTCCACATTCAAGTGACATTGTTATATATATCCACAATAAGTACTTTATACTTGTATATGTATAGAAGAAAACATAAAAAAGAGTAAAACATTCTTTACGTGGGTAAAAATAGTATTCTTGTTGTAATGTAGTGCACACATTGTTCATGTGCTCATATGCACTATTTTCCTTGTGCATAAGTTAGTTATTTTATTATTGTTTGCTAGTCTTTTTTAATAATTCTATTTATTTTAGAGTATAATCTATAGATTTGATTACGTGTAGTTTGTACTTTTTGTGTAAGTTTGTTGTAAAGAGATGTAGGCAAGTATTATAGGTACCAAAATAAGACAAAAAGAGTCATGAAGATATGTACTGGTACGAAACCCGAGAGGATTAGAACAAAATCCAGTGGGGTTAAGAACTTACATCTGAAACTATTAAGAAGCTGCCAATCGAAACCAGGTCGGGTTTTTACTCAACCCGGTCAGGTATCCTAGAAACTCGATCGAGTATCCGACCATGTACCCTTTAAACACCTAAAAATGCATTCTTTTTTCTTCCCATTTGGATATTCATTCTTCCATATCATAAAGTTAAGTTTAGATTCAGTATTTTTTTAATATTTCTTTCATGTTTAGCTCCAAATAAGAAGTTAAACTTCTTTACCTTGGTTTTGCTATCTTGAAGGTTGTTAAGTTAAAGTTCTTAGTTATTTTCTCAAGGAAAAAGGGGCAAATAAGCCCTTCTACTATATTCAATCCGTCACTTAAGTTCGTAATAAAAACTTGAAAAACATTAAATTCCAATGACTTTATTAACCTAATAACACATTGTATATATTTAAAATAGTATTCTAATTTATAATATATACTTCATAAAAACATTTTGTGCCTAACTTTTTATAATTAAATATACTTATATAAACATATGTGTGTGTATATATATTATAAATAGACCAGCTTGTCAAGCCAAGAAAGCTTTAGAGTTTGAACTAATTCTGACCTATTTAGATAAATGAACTTTTTTAAAAATCCAGGTCTAGTTTTTTTAATTATTAAACAGGCCAGGTCAAACCTTAGACACAACATGTGGCAGGCTCTTGACAAGCCGTCTTGCCTATTTCCACCCTTAACTATCACTCTATATGTGTATGAAGCCTACTGGGCTTACCTAATTTATATTTCTTATACTTATATGATTGTATCTCATTAATAAATTATATCATACTCTTTCCAGCCAATAACATTTGGCGAAATCTATTTAAACGAAGAATTATAAACTAATTTTTTTTATTGAGATATGTGCAAAGCGGAGAAAAATAAATTTAAGTGCATATTTATCTTTTTGAATTGAAATGGCAATTTTTTGAAATTGCAAGATTTGTGGAAATTTTGTAGGACATCTTCAAGTTTTTCCCAAAGAATGACACTAAAGGTCACAACAAAATGATAAAAAGTTTCTTCAAAAATGACGAGTTTTTTGCCTCGGGGGAAGGGGGCTTGGGAACAACTGAGCTCAAACTCCCTCCAAGAACTATTGAACCTAGAACCTCTTACAAGGGAGAGTGGGTCAGTGACCAGCTGAGCTGGGCTGCTTTCTCCTCCTCCTAAAAAGACAATATACTAAAGAGTTTGTTCATAGTACAGATAGAAATGTCCCCTACTCCGAAGTGGAAATAGAGGTTCACTTTCAGGGACAAAAAAAGGTGCATACCAAGACCCCATTTTCAAGATGGTGACCAGAAAAAGGAGGAGAAAATGTTTCTCATTTTGATTTTTGAACGCCGTGACTTGCATTCCAGTCACTTAATCATGCAAAATTAACGAATGATAATGATAGTTAAAGGCATGTTTGGTAACCCTATTTTTAGTTTTATCGATCAGTAATTTCTTTATCAAATACCACATTCGTTCTCTTTTAGTTGCAACATTAGTAATTTTGCATTATTCACATATTCTACTTTGACTACTTTACATTTATTAGTTTATTGTAAATTAACTTTTTGAAAAATGTTGTTAAATTACTCTCGTTTTAAATTGAGAAATTGCCCAAAATAGGACTAAAAACGTTTGTATATTGCAAAATAGGACTTTCATGTTTTTATTCCCAAAATAGGACTAATTACTGCCATGTTTTGGCAGTACCAGACTTTAAACATGGCTATATTTTCCAAACTTGGCAGTAATTACTCCTATTTTGGGAATAAAAACGTGACAACCCTATTTTAGAATTTTAAAAAAATTACTCATATTTCATGAATTTTCCCTTTTAAATTTTCAAAATCTGAATTTTTCAACTTGTTATTAATGACGAATATAATGAAAGATATTAATGATCAAACTTATGTGTTGACAAACGTGAAAAGTGGACTGTTGCAATAAGAAAAGAGCAGAAGAAGTATATAATATTGATTTTACATACTAAATAGTAACTCACCTGTGTGATGCATGGAATGTAATATGCTTATTTTCTAAATATTACCCTGTCATGCTAAAACTGTCTCATCATGCCTTTTTGGTCCGTTCTACTAAAATTATCTCATAACTGCATTTGATCACATTTGTATGGTTCTAAATCGTTTCTATGTTATACTCACTTTATCAGTTCGATATCAATCACATAAATTTACTTTTCTCGATAACCACATCATCTCCTCTTGTACAAATGTTGAGGACAGAGGTAGTAATATACTATCATATAAATATAATTATAGATCATGTTATGTTTTATCACATGCATGAGAGAAGAAGTTGTAAATAATAAATAAAAATTGAAGTTTAATAACCACACTGATACACTTTAAAAATTGTTGAGGTAATTGGCCCAACTTAGTATTGGTCCAATACCCCCATGACAAAATAACATCATAAGACCTCAAGCCCGGGCAACACGTCCCACGCGGCACCATGTCTTTGGATAATTTACATTGGCAGTCAAGGAGCTCTTCACTGGCAAGCTGAGTTTGGTTGACGGGAAAACAAGGATTTTGGCGGAAAATACATTAAATGCACAATATATGCAACGTTTTATGGTTTAGATATTAGTCATTCAAGATCCTCCACATCACCACTACCACGTACCTTATGGTAGTACAAATTGTACTTCGTGGCATTTATTTCATTTTTAGGGGTTGACAAATTGTACTCGCTAGCTTTAGCCTTTCTCTCTACTTTTCAGTAATCACAGCTTAGACTAGAGGCTCAACACTCGGCTCGGTAGGATGCATTGTAATAATTGTTCTACATATTCAATAGAACTCAGGCCACTTACCTTTCCTTTTCTCGTTGCTGAAGTACTTGTGCCTTAAAAAAACAAACTAATCCACCTAAATATATCCAACTCATTGAAACATCCAACGAAAGCCCAAATGAAAGTGTTGGGCCTTGAATCTAGAGGAATAGACCTCAACATAAATTATTGAAAATCTTCTTGTATACAACGTTTTTTACATATTTTTTTATCATAAGCCAATGAATGTCATGAAATTTAAACAACTTCTCGTGACATATATATCTTTGACACGCATTTCTTCGACTATAGTAACATCTCATGGTCTTGTATTTTCACCCGTGTGTGTAAATGTTCGATCAGAGTAGTTTACATTAATTGAATATAGAGGTCTTTTGTATTAGTTCAAACACTTGCATTTGAATTTAACTTGTCCCAAGAATATTATCGAACATTACAAATTAGTAAGCCTTTAGATTACTAAAATAATGAATATCTATTACTTCACTAAATCATTTTTTCAAACACCATCAAGTTTATTATTGATCTCTTTTCATATAATATCTAAAGCAAATCATTTTTCTCAAAGTAGAAACATATACAAATACTCCTTTAGAGCTTTTATATTCCCTTGTCCCATAAAATTCTTCCCGATTTGACTTTGACCAAAACTTTAGAAAGTGAGAATAATGATGGATTGTATTATTGTTGTTGAGTAAGAAAAAAATAAATGAAAGTTAGTCACACAAAACTTTCCAAAAAGGAAAACGAGAATAATTTTTTGAAACATCCCAAAATAATAAGTGGGGACTAATGTTTGGACAAAGTTGAAATTATAATTAAATGACAAAAAATACTTTTTAGACACATTTCTCTACTAGTTTTTGTAAAGATTTAAAATTTACACCAGTTAACTAATGTTTATATAGTAAAAATTAGTGCATTTAAATTATTTTTCACTTTGCCTCATCAACATTACATGTGTTGGCACGGTAATTGTTTTTGATATAGCATTATAGTGTGCCTTATCCTTCATCATTGCATGCCATAGCCTCCGGTCTTCCGCCTCCAGAGATCCACCCGCCCCCTGCCCCTCTCCCCCGCCCCCTGTCACACGCCCCTTGCCGCTGCTGTCCTTGTTGAATTATATCTCAAGATATTGAACATGATGAAATCAAGTATGATGAATGTTTACAAAGAGCGAGTATGCAGAAGTAAGATAATCGAATGAATTGAAAATTAACCTAATTACAATTGGTATAGGTATTTATACCTAATGTTGAAAGGCTATTAAAAACTACATGTAAATCCCAATAAACAATAGATGGGCCTAAGAACTTAAAAAATAGATCAGTCCAACTTCCAGTCTAGCTTATTATTCTTGATACGCTCCCTCAAGAGGAGCATGAATGTTTTTCATGATCATCTTGACTGCAAACTGGCTAAAAAGAGGATTTCCAAGTTGTTTTGTATAGATATCTGTAAGTTGAAAATCATTCTTAATATGATGCAAAGAAATTAATCCAGAATTAATTTTTTCTCTAACTAAATGACAGTCCAGTTCTATATGCTTTGTTCTTTGATGTTGTACAGGATTATAAGCAAGGTGATAAGTAGATTTGTTGTCAGTATATATAATAATGGGTAAAGAAATAGGTATATGTAAATCATTAAAAATATATGATAACCATTGAGCTTCACACACAGCATTAGCAGCTGCTCTATATTCAACTTTAGTTGAAGATCTACTTACAACTTGTTGCTTTTTAGATTTCCAAGAAATTAAAGAATTACCAAGATAAAAAGCATAACCTGAAACACTTCTCCTAGTATCTATACAAGTTGTCCAGTCTGAGTCAGTGTATCCTTGTATAGAGAAATCAGAAATACAAGGCTAAAATAAGCCTTTACCTGGAGAATTCTTAAGGTATCTCTGAACCCTATGAGCTGCACTTAAATGAACATAAGTAGGAGAAGTGAGAAATTGACTGAGAA